GTGTATTACTCATCTTATAGTAGTATACTTATATATTATATACCATAAACATTATATTATATATTAGTTATACAATTCTTATATCTACTAATGTATTGTTGGAATTATATCAAATTAATTCGAACTATATTAATTAGTATATTAAGTACTATATATATATATATATATATATATTAAGTGTATATATATATATTAAGTGTGTGTGTGTGTGTATATATATATATATATATATATATATATTAAGTGTATATATATATATACATATTCGATTTTTACTAATATATTACTTTTATTACATCTAATTAATATATTAAGTATATATATATATACTTACACAATATATTATATATTAGTTACACTTTAATTAATATTAGTTAAAATCATTCTATTACTCATTTACTCCCATTAATTAGTATACACATTCATACATTTGTCTTATTACTTACATTTTGTATTAACATTACTTGATTAGTTAATTAGTATTTCCAATAATTGTTACATTTTTCACTAAAGTCGTTAATTAGTTAATTAGTATTCCCATTAATTGCTACCTTTGTCTCTACTTTAAAAAACTAGTTAATTGTCATTATAGTTAAAGTCACATTATAATAGTTTGAATTTATATTTGAAGGAAAAAAGAGTAGTTCAATTAATTTTATTAAAGTACTTAACATTTTATTAAAGTAGTTTTCACTAAATTAAAATACTTGAAAAGTTGCTATAATTTAATTACTCACATTTTAGTTAAAGTCACACTTGTTAGTTTTAAGTATTTATTAAAAAGAGATATTATCCGAAATAGGACTAAAAAGGTTTGAAAATTCCAAAATAAGACTGTCATGTTTTTATTCCCAAAATAGAACTAATTATTGTCATGTTTTGGCAGTACCAGACTTCAAACATGACAATATTTTCCAAACTTGACAGTAATTACTCCTATTTTGGGAATAAAAAACATGTCAGTCCTATTTTGGAATTATCAAACTGTTTTAGTCCTATTTCGGGAAATTTCCCTATTAAAAAAAGCTATTGATTAGTTCGAATAAATTTTTATTTTAGAGTCACACTTTAATTCATTACTTAATTAAAGTACTTCACATTTTATTAAAGTAGTTTTCACTAAATTAGTTTGAAGTATTAATTAAAATAGTTTTAATTAGTTGCATTACTTTTGTACTCATTATTATATTTGTTGCAAATTAATATTTGTTACATTTTTAAGATGGAGGGTGGTAGATATTCGGTTGATATGGGTAACCTCGACCGCAACCGAAGGAACGAGATTGGGAGGAAGAAATCCCGCAAAGTTAAAGAGCCTATTGGTTCTTCATCTCAAAGCCGAGATGATTTTGAAACGGGTTACCAAAGAAGGGATGGAGATGCGATGTCCGAAGAACAACTACAACAAGAATTCGCCTGACATAATAACCGCTTTCTCCAACAACAACAAATCCCGACGACCATTGACGAAGATGAGCTCGAGAATGACGATGCGGATGAACTTGAACCGGAGACGGCCGAGGGTGACAGCAACCACGATGACGACAAGGCGGACGAGCCCACCTCATCCCAACCCGGTAAGAAAAAAAGTAAATCTGAACTAATGCAAAATAATTTTGATAAGTGGAAGGACGCACAAACCGGGTTTTGATACGCAACTTGCAAGTGGTGCAACAAAAATTATAGCTTGGGGACCTCCGGCGGATACGGATCCGCCGCAAGGCATCTTAAGGCAAAGCACATCGTGGAGTATGCAAAATTAGGCGGCGGAACGGGGAAGCAAACTCAAATATCGAGGTTTGCGAATTCTCAACCTTTTGGTAATTTCTCATACAATGATGCACAAAATTTGACTGGTATGACTAACTTAATTTGTGAAGAAAATTTGCCTTGTATTTTTCTGAAAGTCTTGCTTTAAGAGATTATGCATGCGGTAGTTTAAATCCCCAATTTAGAGGTTATAGTCGCAAAACTGTTAAGAAAGAAATTATCAGCCTTTATGGTGCGGAAAAGGCAAGGTTACAAAATTTATTTGCAAACTTTAATGGGCGTGTTACTATTTGTTCTGACTTTCATCATTTAAATTATTTGGGTCTGACTGCACATTATATTGATGAGGATTTAAATATGCGTAAACGTGTTCTTTCTTTTCGTGAATTTAATGATTGTTGCACCGCTGAACATATTTATATTTTGATTGAGCGTATTTTAATTGAGTATAATTTGATTGATAAGGTGTTTGCTATTGGTTTCGATAATGCTACTAATAATACTGCAGTTATACCTAGATTGCGTGAATTGTGTGGTGCCAATAGTTTGATAGGTAGATTTTTTGATCAACGTTGTGCATGTCATGTTATAAATTTATGTGTGCAAGACGATCTAAAAGCGTTAGGAGATGTTATGGAGGTAGTCGGGAGGGGGGGGGGGGGGGGGGGGGTTAGACGTATTTGGGGTAGTGGTCAACTTAGATTAAAATGACAAAATTAATTGACTGGAAGAGGTGTGAGATATGTTGCTTTTCCTAAAGATTTGACTATTCGTTGGAATAGTACTTCTAAATTACTTAAAGTTGTTCTTAGATATAAAGAACATTTTTTCCTGATTTTTTAAAACAACATAATAACTATATTATAAACTCAACTGACATCGACACTTGCGAAAAAATTTGTAATGTTTTGATATTTTTTTAATGCAACTGAATAAACCTACCACAAACCAATTTATTCATGAAGCTGTTTATCTCCTAGAATGGTACTAAGAATAGTACTTTTAGTCATGTTTATAAACCTGTCGAAAACCAATTTATTCATGAAGTTGTTAATCTCGCCGGTGCTTTTAAAGAATTTGAAAATGCCGTTTACGTGAGTTATTTTTGTGATTTTATGAAGGAAAAGTTTTTAAAATATTATGCACATATTCCACATATTTATGGTATTGGCTTTATTCTCGATCCTCGTTTTAGACTAGCTAATGTGGAAGATTGTTTCAACTTCTATTATCTTGCTTTTTTTGTGAATTTTCAATGTGTGACGATAACCCCATAGATCCGAAAATGGAATACAACAAGGTTATTACTTTATTTTATGCCTTATTTAATGAGTTTCATGCACAATATGGCAACGCGCCCCGTCCCCTGACACGAACATCGTCATTTAAAGGAAAATCAATTTTTAAATCTGCATTTGGCAATCTTATGAAAAAAAACTAAAACAACTCACACTACTGAACAAAGCGCAATAAATGAGATTACTTTGGATTTAACATATGAAGTTGAATTTGAAGAAAATGATGACTTCGACATTCTAAAGTAGTGTAAGTCAAAAGAAAGAATGTTCCCGATTTTAGCACGGATGGCTAAGCAAGTGCTATCAATGCCGGTTTCAACAGTTGCCGTGGAACAAGAATTTAGTTCGGCCGGCAACGTCCTAACGGCATCTAGAAAGAGATTGAGCACAAACTCTCTTGAGACGCTTATATGCTACCACGATTGGTTGAAGGCCGCACGTAGAACTAAAGAAATGAGCATCACCCCCTTCCAAGACTTTATGGATGACTCAACAACAGATGGTGGCTCTACCTATACCGGAGATTCCGATTGATTAGTATTTTACAATTTATTATAAAATGTATTTCATGTTTTAATCTTTCCCTCAATTGTAATTTGTAAACTTGTACTTCATATTTCAAATAAATATGCGTTCATTTTTTCATATGAAGCACTTCTCAAATTAATTAATTGGTTACAAACTTACAACTTACAATAAATAGTTTTTAGGCTAAAGGGTCAAATAGACCCTTGAACTAACTTAAAAAGTGCAATTCACCCCTTATATAGAAGGCTATTTCCGACCGTGGTCAATTGGGGCGCTTCCCGGTAAAATTTTTCGATGAAATTTTTTTAGCATCTCCTTCATTAAGTCTAGTTTATGAATACCAAATTTTAGATAAAAACTCAACCAGGAAGACAGTCAAATGATTTTTTGAAATGTATTGCGTTGTTTAACTGCGCAGTTATCTTTAAAAAATCATTTGACTGTCTTCTCGATTGAATTTTTAGCTGAAATTTGATAAGTAAATTAGACTTAATGAAAAAAATGTTCAAAAATTTTCATCAAAAAATTCAACCGAGAACCTCCCCAATTGGCGACGGCCGAACAGAGCCTTTTAAAGAAGGGGTGAATTGCACTTTGTAAGTTAGTTCGAGGGCCTATTTGACCCTTTAGCCTTGTTTTTAATTTACTTGAAAATGTATTTCATATTGTAATTTTTTTCTCATTTCTCAAATGTAGTTCATATTTCAAATAAATGCACTTGACTTTGTTTTTAATAAACATTTGTATAAACTATAAAGTATTAAAAAAAAATCAACTAACCCGGCCCAGCCCGACGGGTGGCCCGACCCGTTACCCGGGCGGGTGGCCCGGCCCAAACCGGCACCGGCCATAGCACGGGCTGGTCCCGGGTAGGGGTGGACTCGGGCTGGTTCGGGCCCGGGCCGGACCTAGGCCCAACCGGGCCGCCGGTTCTGAATAGGTGGGCTTGGGACCGGCCCGGGTAGCCACCGGGTCCGGGCCGGGCCTCGGGTCAATTTTTTTCCCCTTTTCCTAATTAACCCCCCCACCCCCAACCCCCTAAACCACCCCAAATGGCCCAAAATACCCATCCCAACCCAAAAAGTTAAAAAAAAATTGAAAAAAAATTAAAAAGCCCGGAACCGAGCCAAAACCGGTCGCGCCGGTTTGTCTTTTGGGAGACCCGAGCCCGCACCGGGAACCCCCCGGGCCGGGCCTAGCCGGACAGGTCACTGGCCGGGCAACCGGGCCGGGCCGGTTCAACACAGTATCGGTTCCGGGTCGGGCCACCTGGCCCAAGTCCAGGACTGGTCTCGAGCATCCTTCACAAAACCTGAGGCCCGGCCCGGGTCCAGGACTACACGCAAGCATTGACAAGAGAAGCAATAAATTACTTACAAATATAAGGAATTTCTAATCTATCTAATTCAATTGATCAGTTAATGTGACTAGGAAGATATTTGATGATGTACGTGTGGTGGGTGTGGGATTGGACACCATCGGGATGTAACTACGTAAGCAAAAACACAACTTAAATGGAAAATTTTGGGATGAAAAAAACCTTCATAATTTTGCATGAGCATGCATGATTGTCTTGAACATACGAAAGATGATAAATTTGATTGACCAAGGTCTCCAAAGAAGTATCAATTTCAATGCAATAAACCCGTTTGTAGTGCACCAATTAATTAGCTCTTGCATAGTTGCATGGCGTAGAGGTGAAGGTGAAAATCAGTTTATTGTGGCAGAATAAAGGACCCAACAACATAGGCTTTCCCACTTGAAAATCAGCAAACTTCCTCTTATACATGGCCAGATTCAGTTTCATATGCGAACAAGCATGTTTCCATTTGAACGTCGTTGGTCGTTTTCGGTTGAAATAAGATGGTAAAAGATCCCCTGGCAATAGTAATGCAGCCTTGTCAACCACCTTCTTCCATTCTTGAGAAAGGCACCAGCATAACGAATAATTTTGAACACCAGAAATGATTCTTCAAGCATTAAGTTGAGAGCAGAGCAATGTACAAACCATCTCTAACCATCAAGAGAGTACGAAAATAACCATCAAGAGAGTATGTGTTTGCAGCTACCAACCATCGCATACAGACGTTCTTAACTTCCCCCATCAGCCTCCAACTACCAAGAAATTAAAAAGGATAATGCCTCCAAACCTGAGAAGAGAAGGGGCAAAGATAGAAGAGATGATCATTAGTGGTGTTGTCTCATTTACTAAAAGGGCACCTGGAGGGAATAATGTATGAGAATCTGCCAAGGAAGCAAGGAACTGGTGTTTAAGCTAGATATGAGTACTACCCGGATCCTTGTGGAGGGAGATGTAAGCAGCCTTGGTAAAGTGAAGAGGAATGTTGGTTGAGAATTTGGTAATGTGAAAGTACTACCCAAATCCTTATGATGGTAGTGAAGACTTGGTAATTGTATCAATAGTGAACACTTGGTAATTCATTCACCACTCCCATGAATTATACCCTGACATTCTAAGGATAAATCCTCACTCCCCTTTGAGTTGGTTGAGAATTTTCATACAGTGAAGGGGAAGATAAAGGATCTTGCAGCCTTTTATATTCATTAAACAAATCCAGCATCCTAGTTTCAGTTTTTCAGACAAGGTAGATGCTAGAGTATCAGTATACATCCTTTTAAAACAAAATTCTGTACATGCATCCTTCAACTTATACAAAATTCTGCGACATACAACAACATATTCATTTTCTCAACAACACCCCAGTACAGCAGTACTTGTCAAATTTATCCTTCATTTGTTGAGCCATTAAGCTGAATTTTGGATCAGTGTTCTTGACCCAACCAGAGACAGAATAAAGTTCACATATTTCAGTAAAATAACATTTTGAAGTGACAACCTTCTAACATTTTTCCAGTCATCATGAACGGCAATGCCATCACTATTACTAATATCTTGATTGTAATGGGGATCAAAAATCTCAAAGACCCTCTCAAGTTTTTGTGCTGCATTCAACACTAGAAATGTAGAGCTCCACCTAGTTAAAACATCTAGGCATAACAATGCTTTGAACTCTATCTTCTCTAAAACAACACTCTTTAAACTGTACGATCCTAGCAGGTGAGTGCCTCACAAACCTCACTGCCCCTATAACATGATAAACTGATTCATCCACATTTTTCAATCCATCTTTGACAGCTAAATTAACAATGTGATCAATGCACCTTATGTCAAGAAACTTTCCATTTAAAATGAACCTCAAATTGTTACACTTATTTCTCAAATAGTCAATGGCAACATCATTTGAGCTCCCATTACCCACTGATTGTGAAAAAGTTATCTATTCCCCAATCACGCAAACATTTTACAACAGACTTACCGATATCTTCACCCTTATGACTGAATATTGGACAGAAATTCATTATTCTTATATGGAACTTCCAATCATTATCAATGTAGTGACGAGTGAGACACATCATTTATTTTTTGCAAAGATGTCTATGTGTTAGTGGTAAGTGAACCTCTATGGCAAGTGGTTTGGAGCAATTTGGACAGTTTCTTTATCTCTTCAAAGTAAATATTGAACCGTCCATAACAATAGTTCAATGTGATGGAACTCGAAACCTAGGACAAGCGGCAAGCATGAGTCTTCTAAACCCCCTTCCTTCAACAAACTTAAATGACAACTCATCGATAATGATCATTTCTGACACAGCCCTTCTAATCTTAGTTTCATCATATTTACCATATCTCAATGAATCTCACCATTCATGCGTTGGACAACTAATTCTGTTTGTGAGGGATCGGACTTATCACGAAGTGCGGGACAGCTTCGTATGTGAGCTGACAATGCACTGGTTCCATTTCCTTTGGAGTCAGCAAATAGCTCTTTTTCACTATGATGACATCTAGCTTTTTGATGGCCTATATCATTTTGGAATTTTTCGATCCCATACCATTGACTTCACTCGTGTTTCTTTTCTTTTCTTTGGCTTACATTTGGAGCGGTAAAAGCAGGTCATACTCCTGCTCCGTGTGTTTGGTCATTTTGACCTTGTGGTTCCTCGCCCATTGAGCCTGTTGATTGCATCTACAAATAATAAAATAGTTATATAGTTATATTTACTAAATATGATTACTAATTATAATTATATAACTAATAGTTCTATGCATTTTTTTTGAGGTAAGGGTCAGATTGGTACTCGAAGTTGTATAAAAAGGGTCAAATAAGTCCTTACGGTCCGGCCGTCGCCATTTGAGATGGTTCCCGGTGGAATTTTTTGATGAAATGTTTTGAGCATCTTATTCATTAAGTCTAGTTTACCCATATCCAATTTCAGCTAAAATTTCAATCGGGAAGGCATTCAAATGAATTCTTGAAGATAACGGCGTTTTTAACTGCACAGTTATCTTCAAGAATTCATTTGAATGTCTTCCCGGTTGAATTTTTAATTGAAATTTGGCATGAGTAAACTAGACTTAATGAATAAGATACTAAAATAATTTCGTCAAAAAATTCCACCGGGAACCGCCCCAAATGGCGACGGTTGGACAGAGCCTCCTATATAAGGACTTATTTGACCCTTTTTATGCAACTTCGAGTACCAATCTGACCCTTACCTCCATTTTTTTCTACTCACATCCGATAAATGAAACCGAATAACAACCAAAAAACCAAATAACAGAATGTTTTAGAAGTTCCGACCGATAACCTAATTAACTGAACTTTGTGGTCGGTTCGATCATTGGTTCTGATCAGTTCGGTTTTGGCGGTTATTTGCTCACCCCTAGTAAGGATTAACCTTGCTTTATATGCCGTTTGTGTTGTGCCTGATCAAACGAAAAGCATTCAAAACCAGGGTCAAAAGAAGCATTGGTGGTCCCACTCTCTGCACTTCAATATCCAATGTTTATTGGAGTATGGGAATGTGGTATAGAAAAAAGGTCTAGCAAAATAAATGTATTGAAAATAAAATTAAAATCCAAGTTATAAAAAATATAACACAAACTAAAAATGAAAAGGATAGAAAAATGCCACAAATTTAAGCATCTAAAAGTATAATGCAAATACTTAAATCATGCAAAGAATATTATAAAAAATATGAAGATTGTGACCAAAACATTAAGAGAAAGCAAACTACACTTTATTATAATTCAAAACCTAATCATAATTTAACTCCAAATCATGTAATATTTAAAAGTAAATTCTCCAAGCAAAGCCCAATATTAGTGCAAGAATTAAAAAGCAAACAAAGAGTTTTTATCAAATGAACAATATTTGGTCTAATTAGAACAACTGAAAAATGTCACAGCTTGTCAATTTTAACCGCTTACGAATTCTTGTTAGACGATTCCTTTGTTGAGTCATCGCCATTGGGAGTTAATGTTTCTTTTTCTATTTCTCGATGAGGTGAAGTTGAATTTGGAGTCCCGATTGCATCATTCTCGGTGTCCAATGTATCCTGCAATACGATTTAGAGTATAATGGTGGGAATATGTCAAAATATTAATCACAAAGTATGAAACTATTGAGAAGCATGCTTGTCACGGCGGTAAGTCGAGTCGTGGCGCCAGCTGACCGCCATATCGCCTAGGCGACAAGGCGCCCGCCTAGGCGACAATTAGGCGACTAGTCGCCTACATTTGTATATTATATTATATATTATGTATATAATTATATGTTTACATATATAATTATATATTTAATTATATATTATGTATAATATATTACTAACTAAAATGCATATAACTTATAATTGAAATCCACAATTAGTAATTAAAAACAAGATTTCTTAATGGGAATTAAGAGTTTATTATTAAACTAATATATACGAGCATATTAGTATTCTGTACATCACCAGTAGAATAAATTAATGGTTTAATGTCTATATCACCATGTTACACTGTATTTAATAAATTAATTGTTTTATACTTTTATAGTATCTATATAATTACCATTAAAAAAAGTATCTATATAATTAATACTGTACGCATATATTGATAAATTTGATATACATATATAATTATATATACCACTTAAATAGTAAAAATATTAAAAAAATAAATCCACTACACCCCTAGAGAATAAAAGATAAGACTAGATAAGAAATCGGTGGACTCAACTGGACTGTCTCGTCGTATGCTTCAAGCATCAACGACGGACAGGGTGATGACGGTTGGCTTGGCCGGCGACTTCTTCTGCCTTCTGAAGTTGGTTTGTCGCTTCTCTGTGAGTTGTTCTCTGCGTCGGGCTTTATATTTAATTAGAAGGCTACCACCTTAAATTCTTAATTAAATAGGTTTCCTAAAAAAATTAAACCTTAATCTAAATCCTTAATCTACTCTGGGCCTGCGTACAACTTCTCGACTGGGCTAAAATAGGCGGTGATAAATCGCCAAGTTCACGCCAGGACGACGCCTTGGCGACGCCAAACGCGACTGGTCATCTCTCGGCGAGGCGAGCTTACCTGGCGAGCAGTCCCCAGCGCCTGGACGCCTAGTCGGCGACTAGGCGACGCCTAGGCGACGCCGTGACAACCATGTTGAGAAGTTGCATTTCAATAGTCTAGTCAATGTTATTTTTAATGTTGTGATATTTTGATAAGAAAGGGAAAGGGAAGTCCAGTGCACATCGGCATCCCTGCAAGGCGAGAGGGTCCAAGGAAGGGTCCCACCAGAAAGGTGCGGAAAGGGAAGCCCGATGCACATTGCACTTCCCTTGTAATTTTGATAAAAGGCCACTCCCAAGACTTCAACCCGTGACTTCTCAGTCACACGGCAACACCATAACCACTTCAACCTGTAATGAGTCTATCTCTTCATTTGAAGTTGTAAGCTATCTTTTAGACAACTAACACTAGTATATGTTTGCTTTTACAATTGAATAACGATAGCCTTTCTAATTAGTATTTAGGTAGTAAAATATTTTCAATTGAAAGTTAAAAAGTAGTAAAAAACATTACCACGCAAGTCAGCGCAAGATGTCTCTAACTGACTTAGATTTTAAAATAAGGTAGTCAATGTGTGGGGCACCGTGACCGTATCAATGTGTCCTGCAGGATTAATTGATAGAAAATTCTTAAATTGTTAAATTCCTATAGCAAAATGTCTGTCTTATTTGACCACTCTTTTAATAAATCTTAATCATGTGAATCAATAGTCTCTTCATTTCCAAAAGTTTAAGAAAAGTCCTCGATTGTTGAAAAAATAATTTTAGCATTTTAGGAGCATATCGAATTTGATTCTACTATAGCTGATATGATTTCAAAAATCGATTCGAGTTCCTCATGGGAATTGTGAAAGATATAGAATATACTTTAGAATATTATAATATGCTTCAGAATATTCTAGGAATATACTTTAGAATATTATTATTGTATAGAATCTTGTATAGGAATATTCTATTTGTAATGTATATTTATAGGGACTTAACCCTTCAATGAAATACACAGAAAATCCTTCTCTCCATATCATTTTAGTTTATATTTCAACATGGTATCAGAGCCTTCCATTTTAGTTTAGTTTTTCAGATTTCAATTTAAGTTTCAGACTGGATTCTTTCTTCAAGAACCTGAGTTCAGTCTTCAGATAATTCAGAACCTTCAGACACCAGTCTGTCTCCAAATTCTTTCTTCAGGAATTTCAGATTTTTTATTTCTTCCCAGATTCTTCAGAACCTCTAGGCACCAGTCTAATTTTCCAGAAAATAAATTAGCCTGAGCTAATTTCCCAGAAAATTTCTTCGCATACAGTCTGCCCACCAGAAAGTTTCGGATCACACATTTCATCATCACCGTACCCAGGTGGTGCGGGTGCCTCCGACGACCCAGAAACCAAAGTCCGACACCCATACTATACGCGAGTAATCCGCACGCGCCGCCACAGCTCGGTGATCTCAACTCATGCGCCGGCGCGTGTCGTGTAATCGCCGGCCAGATTTTCGATCGGATCCATCACCACGCTCGCCGTCGTATCCTCTACCGCACGTGCTTCCTCTTTCCAGGTATCCTTAATTTTAATTTTGGAGGTCTCACTCGTACTTGGACAAAATCCCGTGGGTGCTTCATAGCAAGGGTGAAACCTGCTAATCTGGTGTGGCTGCTTGAACGTGGACCCTGTGAGGCTCCTTGCCTCCTTGTACGTTCTTTCCCAGGCTGTCTATTTCAGTTGGGGTGTGATTGTTCAGCAACCAACGTACGCCTACGATTGGTTCTTGTACTTATGTAAGTTTAGGCCTACAAATATTATTTCAGTCACCCTAATTTACTTGATACCTTAATTCTGCACGACACACACAAAAAAAAAAAAAAAGAAAAAAAAAAAGAAAAAGAAAAAAAAAAAGCAAAAAAAAAAAAAAATGTTTCGTACAGGTCAATTTGACAGAGGAGTAATATGCAATTACTGCAAGAAGCCCGGACACTTGATCAAAGAATGCAGAAAATTGCTATTCAAAAATCAAGGAAATCAACTTGCTCATGTCGCTTCCGCTACCAGTTCCTCTGATGGATCAATTGCTATTTCTGTAGACGAGTATGCCAAATTTATTTGCTACCAAGAATCTCTAAAGCATTCCTCTGTCCCTATCTCGGTAGTTGCTAATTCAGGTATTTCAAACACATGTCTTGTTTCATCATCCTCGAAATGGGTCATTGACTCAGGTGCCACAGATCATATGACCGGTAATCCTAGTCTATTCTCATCATTTCATTCATATTTACCTACTTCTAGTGTCACTTTAGCTGACGGGTCTACCTCACCCGTCCTTGGATCCGGTACTGTTGTCCCAACTTCTACATTACCATTATCACCTGTTTTGAGTCTTCCAAATTTTGCGTTTAATCTGCTTTCCATCAGTAAAATCACGCGCACTCTAAATTGTTCTGTAACATTTTTTCCTGGATACTGTGTGTTTCAGGATCTGTTAACGAAGCAGACTATTGGTAAAGGACATGAGTCGGCTGGCCTTTATATTTTGGATACATCAATAACAAAAGGTATCTCTTGTCTCGGGGTTGGAACTTTGTTAGAGGCTCATTACCGACTAGGACACCCATCTCTCACACTTATGAAACAAATATATCCTCAGTTTAATAAGGTGTCATCTATACAATGTGAGTCATGTGAATTTGCAAAACATCATCGCACTAGTTTAAGTCCCCGACTTAATAAACGAGCAAATGCTCCATTTGATCTTGTCCATACTGATGTTTGGGGGGCATGTCCGGTTGTGTCCAAATCTGGTTTCAAATACTTTGTTACTTTTGTTGACGATTATTCTCGTATGACATGGTTATATCTTATGAAGCGTCGATCCGAGTTATTTACTCATTTCTCTGCATTTTGTGCTGAAATTAAAACTCAATTTAATGTTCCTGTTCGTGTGTTAAGGGGAGACAATGCTCAAGAATATCTATCTGCTCCATTTAAATCTTTTATGCTTCAACATGGCATTATTCATCAAACTTCATGCGTAGACACACCTCCTCAAAATGGAGTTGCTGAAAGAAAGAATAGACATCTGTTAGAAACTGCACGAGCTCTTCTATTCCAAATGAATGTGCCTAAACAGTTTTGGGCTGATGCTGTGTCTACTTCATGTTTTTTGATCAATCGTATGCCATCTTCTGTTTTGGAGGGTAAAACTCCTTATCAATGCCTTTTTCCAAATAAAGAACTTTTTCCCATTCCACCTAAAATATTTGGTTGCACTTGTTTTGTTAGAGATGTTAACCCTCATCGCACGAAGTTGGATCCCAAATCATTGAAATGTATTTTCTTAGGTTATTCTCGAGTTCAAAAGGGGTATAGATGTTTTTGTCCAAGTACAGGTCGATATCTTATTTCTATTGATGTCTCATTTCATGAAAATACACCTTTTTCATCATCCAAGACAGATATTCATGAGGACAACGATGAAATACTCATTTACACAGTTACTATACCTGAGACCACACCTTCAGTAACTATACCGAATGCCACTGTTCCTGACCCTAGACCTCCGGTACACTTGGTTTACACCCGTCGACACAAAGCACAAGATCACTCCCCACCTGTGACACCTGTGATTACATATCCTGATAGTGGCCCGACTTCGATCTCATGTCCTGAACGAGTACCTGCATCTTCAGATCTTGTCTCTACATCTGATCTTGACCTCCCGATAGCACTACGTAAAGGTACACGGTCTTGTACGCATCCTATTTCCTCATTTGTGTCATACAGTCAGTTATCTCCTGCCTCATGTTCTTTTGTTGCTTCCATTGATTCTATTTCTGTTCCCAAATCTGTTAAAGAAGCTTTGTCTCATCCTGAATGGCGTCATGCCATGGTAGAGGAAATGAATGCTTTGGATCTTAATGGTACTTGGGATTTGGTAGACTTGCCTTCAGGGAAGAAATCTATTGGATGTAAGTGGGTCTTTGCTGTTAAGGTTAATCCAGATGGATCTGTTGCTCGAAAGTTTGTCGACTTCGCAAATCTCTTTATGGTCTGAAACAGAGTCCTCGTGCATGGTTTGGGAAATTCAGTCAATCCATTGAACAATTTGGAATGATAAAAGGTCAATCAGATCACTCTGTCTTTTACAGAAAAACGAAAGCGGGTATCACATTGCTTGTGGTGTATGTCGATGATATTGTGATTACAGGAAGTGATACTGCAGGTATTTTGGCTCTTAAGAATTTTCTTCATAGCCAATTCCAAACAAAAGACCTAGGCTCATTGAAATACTTTCTGGGTATTGAGGTAACACGAAGTAAGAAAGGCATATTTCTATCTCAACGTAAATATGTACTTGATTTACTAACTGAAACAGGGAAATTGGGAGCAAAGCCAAACACAACTCCCATGGTTCCCAATGTGCAACTCACTTCAGAAGGCATACCATTCGAAGACCCAGAAAGGTACAGAAGATTGGTTGGAAAGCTTAACTATCTCGCAGTCACTCGTCCAGACATTGCTTACTCTGTGAGCGTAGTAAGTCAATATATGTCATCTCCGACCATTGACCATTGGGCTGCTGTAGAACATATATTATGTTACTTGAAGGGAACACCAGGACGCGGGATTGTCTATCAAAACCACGACCACATGAGAATAGAATGTTTTGCTGATGCTGACTGGGCAGGATCTAAAGATGATCGAAGATCTACCTCGGGGTATTGTGTCTTTGTTGGAGGAAACCTAGTATCCTGGAAGAGTAAGAAACAGAGTGTGGTTTCTCGTTCGAGTGCCGAATCAGAATACCGAGCTATGGCACAATCTGCATGTGAGATCATATGGATAGGCCATTTATTGGGTGAAATCGGATTGAAGACACCAATGCCTGCTAAATTGTGGTGTGATAATCAAGCTGCCATACACATTGCCAACAACCCAGTATTTCATGAGAGAACAAAGCATATTGAGGTTGATTGTCATTTTATTCGAGAGAAGATACAAAAAGGATTGATCTCTACGGGATATGTGAAGACTGGAGAACAACTTGGAGATTTGTTCACTAAAGCACTAAATGGGATCCGAGTTGGTTATTTATGTAACAAGTTGGGCATGATAAATATCTATGCTCCAACTTGAGGAGGAGTGTGAAAGATATAGAATATACTTTAGAATATTATAATATGCTTCAGAATATTCTAGGAATATACTTTAGAATATTATTATTGTATAGAATCTTGTATAGGAATATTCTATTTGTAATGTATATTTATAGGGACTTAACCCTTCAATGAAATACACAGAAAATCCTTCTCTCCATATCATTTTAGTTTATATTTCAACAGGAATTATACGCCGATGAATTTTATGTGATTATTTTGAATGGAAAATGGAATAACTACAACTGCTCCATTTTTACTATATTAGCGTATTACTATATTACCTCACTAATTGATTCTTCAACTGCTGCATTTTTTATCTCATCTATTTTTTCTCTATTCTTTGAAACCATGCTTATGGCATATATCTGTCCGCCACTTTCAAGATCTGAATATGCACGGTTGATTTTGAAGAAGTACTTTTGTCCAATCAGTTCATTTATTGCATCACGACAACTCTTTGTTCTACGATTATCCTATAAAATAAAGAATGATTGGATGATACATGTAGGAGAAGTGCAATATAAATATCGAAGTGTAAAATAAAATAAATGATTATGGTTTACCGTGTCTAGATGTTCACTAAAATCCCCTACAACCCTTTCAAGCAGTTGGTGTGTCGCATCATTCCAAAACATGACATTAGCATACTAGTTTTATTGCCTAATTTTGTGTTTCAATGTGTATCGCCAGATGCCATTAGGTCTATGCATTCCACATTTTTCCCACATGTAATCAGCAATCTTCATTCAGTTAATAAAGCACTACCAATTACAATACAAAAACAGGAACTAAAGCAACGAATAACAAAAACATACCTTATTGTTCCTTTTCTAGTTAGCAATGGTATGATCTTTGGAATGTGTCAAATGGTCTACCTTTTTTGGCGCTCTCTTTGTTTAAAAAATCATTCTAGGTGTATGATGCTATCGTTGTCGACGTTATTTGGGAGAGTGCTCATGGATATGAAAATCAATAGAGGGAGAAGTATGGAAATGTGGAAGGATGAGGAGAAGGAAGGGTTGAGTGCTCATGAATATGAAAATCAATAGAGGGAGAAGTATGAGAATGTGGTAGTATAAGGCCTAACAAAATAAATGTATTAAAAAATAAATTAGTATTCAAGTTATAAAAATATTACCTCCGTCCAAAATTGATTTGCAAATTTGACTTTTCTTGGTCAAACAGTTTCATTTTATTCGCTTAATTAGGATGTCAATTTTTAATTATATATTCTAATTTGGAGTTTACAACTTTGAAAGTTTGAAGATATTTTAATGTAGTTTTTTAATATGTAAATTTTAATTATTAAAAATTGAATTAATTATCGATAGGGAGGATTGACTTTTATAATTGATTGACCAAAAATTGTTGACTTTGCAAAACAATTTAGGACGGAGGAAGTATAACACAAACTAAAAATGAGAGGATAGAATAATGACTCAAATTTAAGCATTTTCTGAGAAACAACAATAAAAAAACTAAAGAAAGCCTATTGGCTCGATTGGAATATACATGAAGATGACAAACACGCAATAAGCCAATAACATTAACATATATAATCTTTAGGAACCATATATGATTTCATTATGAACTCATATTTGCATATGTGACTTTATTACTGCCACTCAAATATAAAGTGGAAATATAATGGGACACCTCACAAATGAATGGTCATTGTGAGGTCACACATGACATATGACTCCATATTGGAGAAGTTGTTATGATGTGACATCAGCGTTTCATGAGACTGATGCTCCCATGCAGTAAGAATGATGTAAGTATGAGTAAATTTCATGTAACTTCTCATGCATAAGTCCTTGATATAACTCATGTTATAATTTTGTGCAACTCATACTATGTTTTTATGTAAATGCCGTTATAAATAATGTGTAGCGGATTTTAATATAAATATTGTGTGTTTGGTGTAAATGTGATATAATACATTGTAAATGATATTATAATTTTTTAGAACATGTGATTAACTTGTAAATGTAATATTATTTATAGATACAAAAGTTAAATGTTGGTGTCAATGACTATACAAAATGTAAATTGTGTATATAAATCACATTATACAAAATGTAAACTGTGTGGGTCAAATATGCAAGTGTGGGTCAAATATGCAAGTGTAGTTTTGATGACAATATTTCTTCCTTTAGTTGAATGGAAGTAAGTGACACTATCCATTAATATGTATACAGGTCTGAGATATGCTTAAATCAAGATCTTGTAAATTTGAAGTTAACAGAGTTTTTGTTTTATTTTAACGTGATACGTACTCATCATTTAATACTTGTCAATGGATGTCTTAATATGAGTTTCAGAAGCTCATATTACCTTGGAAACTAAATAAATGACATCTAAAATGGAATTAAAAACAACAAGATATGCTCAAATCAAATCTCATCAGTTTGGAGTCAACTGAGTTTTATTTATTATTTTCAATGTAACACATATCCTTCTTTTAATATTTGGTAATGGAGGTTCCAATAGGAGTTTAAAGAGGTCATATTATTTTGGAAACTAGATAAAGGCAGTCCAAATTCTTTAATAGTAGGTATACTTTTCACCCACTTTGTTTGACTTCATTTTTATCAAGGTATATAAACTGGATTTTTAAAATGCAGGAGTCAAACACATATGCAGAGCAAGTGTGATGAAAACAAATGGCAATGCAAAAAAAATCTGAAAGGCTCAAAACGAATACAAACCCAAAGAGACAAAATTAATTGCAAGAGCACTGCAAGAAGCTACAAGTAAACAAAAAGAGGACATTCCAAAATCCAAATAAGATTCATACCTTTAGGAATGTTATTATACAAAGAAATCATGGTGCACAAAGCATTCCGTTGTACACTAGCTCAACCATAATCTTGAAACCAAGCCAAAGCCAATATAATTGGAAGCGCCAAATAATGAAGAAACCCATGGAAACCAATAAAGAGCCGTCTAATAAATTTGAAAGGCCCTGTTCAAGATATCAAATTGAGGCCCCACCTTATAAAAAAATATAATGGCAATTAAAATATAAAAAGAAGGAAAATATGTGAAACATAAGCTATATTTGACCAATGACAACTCTTTTTCATACAGAGTAAAAAAACTGTACTTTCATCAAGTTTTTTGTTTGTGTTTGTTTTAACACACAAAGCCATTGACGAGCAGTAATCAACTAATAAAAGTCAATCTTCTAACCCTGAACTGAAATAGATTGCATTAGTCTTCTCAAATTCTGCCCTATTTGCTTATATAATCACATCTTTCGCATTTTCCTAATAGATCTTATATCAATTCTACACATTTGTCCTGCTGCAATGATTAAACACTTAATTTTAAGCAATTGGCAGGTGCTTGGTGGTTTCAAACATTATCTCCAGAACCAACAGTGTCAAAACATATTGCCTAATACGTAGTAGAAAATAATTCAGGTCTTAAAAATGAATTCCCCAAAATCAACTACCTTCCTATATAGTCAAACATTAATATATGATCAATTATTCAAAGGTGCACACTGTTAAACAATTCTACACTGCAACAACAACAACAACCAAGCCTTAAGAAATTCTACACTACTCAGCAATATAAAATCTGAAATTTAACAATAATCAATAATCAATTAAATTAGATTAAAAATAAAATAAAACAGGAAACCTCTATGAAAGCTTGATGAACAATAATCCATTAATGGTCAATCAAACGAGAAAACTGCTGAAAGCCCGATGAATTGATGAAAGTACAAACCATATTGAACGGCTGATAGCCTGAAGCAGGAAGACCGCTGCAACGACGGGGTGATTGGGATGAAATACTATGAATCTAAACGGAAGAGAGGCAAGTTGAGAGGCAAGAGCTAAGAGAAGAGACATCCGCCATGAGACTGAGAGGACAGAGCAAAAGGGAATAAAAGGAGGCGATTTCAAAGTCTATGGCGGAAAAAACAGAAGGGAATCCGCAAAAGGACCCTGGCCTGACCCAAATAACGTTTCTGGGCTGGGTTTTTTCTTTTTAACCGGTTCGATAAAAACCTCGTCCTGAACCCGAAAAATCAGACTCATAAACGGGCTCTAAAATCTATAACCCAATCCGGACTGACAAAAACTGAAACAATTAACTTTAAAATAAAATCAATATAATATACAAATCTAATTTATAAATAATTCCTAATATATGATTATATTTATCGTGGATGAAAAATGACTTAGTAACTTTTTGTGATTACAAATATGTTCAATTTTGTATACCGTAATGATTATGAAAATATATTTATAGTAACTTTAGTCATATTTTTATCCATAATTTTTTTAGTGATGTTTTTAGAAAACCTATATTTTTATTTATCTTCTTTGGATTTGAATTGTTGGTGATTTTAAAGATTAATATTTGTGTTATTATTTGCGGTTTGTATTTTTGATTAATTTTATTTGAAAATGGGTTTAAAAATATAAAAGGAAAATGAGATGAATTCACGTTCGGACTTTAATTTAACCGGCTCAACCCGAACCCGGACCGAATTTGGGCTACCAAAAACCTGACTCGGTCCGAATTTAATGGGCTTTTTCTCGTCCCTTATTTTCAAAACCCGAGACCTTACGGGTAATTTCTAGGTTTAGTAAAAACCCGACCCAGACCGGACCGGTTCCACCCTAATTTCAGTATGGCTTACAATGCATTTTAATTCAATTTCAAAACATCAAGTTTATTTGTAATTTAAAAAACTAAAGAAGGTGAGATGCATTAAGCATTACGATGCATATATGAGACATATAAAAAAACTAGAAACACTAGGTTCATAAAAGATGTAAATGAGATATAAAGAGACATGGTTTGTAGTAGGGGTGGGCATATCGGTTATCGGTTTGGTTTTTATCGATTTTGATTCCGTTTTGATTTGGAACTGTGAGGTCAAAACTCAATTTACATCCTTTCGGATAACTGTACGAAACGGGATTGGGCGGGACTGGGGTTTGGGTTGCAACCTCGGTACTAGCCCGGGTTTGTACCGGGCCCGAGCCGGGCCCGGTTCAGGTCGGTCATTTAAAAAAAAATTGGCTTTTCGGATTTATTCCTACTCCCACCCCCCTCTCCCCAAACCATGTACTCAACCCAACCCACCTAGCAGGAAATCAATGGGAAAAACAAAATAAAATTTTTTTTAGAAAAAGGGCCTGGACCGACCCACCATTTAAGCATCTCGGAGCCCGCCCATATTCCTCCCGGTTTGGGCCCCCAGTCCCAGTACCGCCCAGGCGGGCCGGGTCGGGCGTGCAGAGTATCGGGCCGGGCCGGATCCCCGGTCGGTCCGACCCGTCCCAGTCCATCCCTAGATGAAATAGAAAGATGAGGTGTCTTCCTTTTTTTTCAAGACCAAAGCCTTGTTTGGCAATCGTTTTAGTTGTTAGCTTGTTATAACAGCTTGTAATAACATATTCTATCATCTGTTTTATTTTGTTGATTATACTAGCTTATTGTCAGCAAATATTTGATAAATTAGTTGTTTAAGAATAGTTGTTTGCGTGTAAAAAATAACATACAAGGACATTGCTATTTTATTTCATTTTTAGCTATTGCTTATAAAAATAATATTACCTATATTTACTTACAAAATATAAATCATTGAAATTTTAGAAATTGATAAATAAAAATACATAAAAAATAAAATAAAATAATTATTTTAATTTAATTTAATTTCAATAATATGAATTTAAAAAATCAAGTTTATTTGTAATTTATAAAACTAAAGAAGGTGCGATGCTTTAAGCATTACGATGCATATGTGAGACATATAAAAAAACTAGAAACACTAAATTCATAAAAGATGGAAATGAAATATAAAAGAGGCATGGTTTGTATTAGGGGTGGGCATATCGGTTATCGATTTGGTTTTTATCGATTTTGATTATGTTTGATTTGGAACGGGTTGGAAGAATAATTATCAAACAAAAATCATACTATTTTTCAGCTTGGTTCGGTTCGGTTTGGCTCGGTTTAGATTTGTTATTTTTTAATAATATACGAAGGTTTTAAGAAAGCAATATACATCTTTTAACATTAGTTTTTATGCTTATAAAATCGTTCACCACTATACACATGTATACCAAAAGCATAATGTTGAAAACATACATGTATTTTGAGAAGTAAAAAGTCATATATAAAACATTTAAGGGAAATGGTCAAATAGGCCTTCGAACTAACTTAAAAAGGTCAAATAACTCATTTTATAGGAGACTCTGTCCGGCCGTTGCCATTTGGGGTGGTCCCAGGTGGAATTTTTTGATGAATTGTTTTGCGCATCTTCTTCATCAAGTCTAGTTTACTCATATCAGGTTTCAGCTAAAAATTCAATAGGGAAGGCAGCAAAATAAATTTTTGAAAATAACTGCGCAGTTAAACAGCGTAGTACATTTCAGAAAATCATTTGACTGTCTCCCCGATTGAATTTTTATCTGAAATTTGGTATGAGTAAACTAGACTTAATGAAGAAGATGCTAAAAACATTTCATCAAAAAATTCTACCGGGAACCACCCCAAATGACGATGGTCGGACAGAGCTTCCTATAAAAGGAGTGATTTGACCTTTTTAAGTTAGTTCCAGATCCTATTTGACCCTTTTCCCAACATTTAATTTAATTTATCCTTTTTCTTTGATTCACTCTTTAAGGTAATAGTTTAGTGATATATAACTTTGCTTTTTAACTCATGCATAATTAGTTTTAAGAGAAATCTCAACTAGATGTGTTGGATTTTTAGTTTAGATCTAGATGTTCACAGTGCAATTGACAAATAACAAATGGTGTTGAAGAACTTCAGGTATAGAATGAAACATAGAATTTGAGTGGGTATGCCGGTATGGAAGAACGGTTTTCTGAAACAAGACGCAGTATTACCTTCTGTCATATTGTAATTTTCATTGCATGAACATGCTGAACCCATTTTGAAAAGGGAAAAGGACCTCGGAGGGTTATGCATGCTCAGGAATATCTGTTTGATAAATCAGTAGCTGATAGCGGATTATGGCGGAAAAACTAAAAACCGATGTATAAATGTAATGGATAGCATTGTGGTAAATAGAGGAAGCATCGCAGATTGGGTAAAAATTACATACTAGTATATAGTAATTACATTTATTATTTATATATCATAATATATGTAAGGAGTAAAGTACGTAGTCATAAAAAAGATTCTACTAACATTGAAACAGTTAAAAACTTTCAAGTATACTTCGGGAGTGTTTGCAACTGCTTAAAAAAAAGCACTTCTCAGCTTTTGGCTTTAAAAAGCACTTATTTACCAAACACTACCAATTTTTACTTTTTCTCGGCTTGCGTGTGAAAAGTGCTTTTCCCTTTTCTATTACACAAAAAGCACTTATTTTACCAAACACTACCAACTTTTACTTTTCAAAATCACTTTTTTCTCAAACACTATCAACTTTTACTATCAATCACTTTTTCATTACTTCTCCAAAAGTGCTTTTTTTAAAGCAGAAGCAGTTGCAAACACTCCCTTCGAATCATAGCACAAAACTAGTATAGACCACTAAAATTCAAAGTTCTCTAAAATGGAAATCTTAATAAATTGGATAATATTCCCACCCACTATCATTTTTGTTTTTGGCATTTGAACACGATTGTGACAGTGATGATATTTTACAAGCTTTTTAGCAACGGTTAGCTTTTAGTGACTGAAAAGATCTTAAAAAGAAAAAGTGATATATAGCTGTTTGGTAAAAAGCTGACTGATTTAGTTCGGTTTGGTATACAAGCTGTTAGGACTAATTAATACTAAAAGTCACGAGCTTTTCTCAGATGCTACACCCGGTAGCATCTCAAAAAAGATCTTTTAATTTTTTAAAAGCTCTTAAAAATGTAATGCCAAACATACAACTAGAGTCGGGAAAAGTGTCAAATAGACCCCCCTACTAATACGAAAAAGTCAATTAAGCCCCCAAACTCAAAAAACATCCAATTAAGCCCACGAACTAAATATAACGAGGCAAAACAGTCCTTTTAGCAGGATATTATCTGTTCCCAGTTAAGTTGCATTTGTGGCAAATGATGTGACATGCTTTTACATTTTCTTTTTCTCTTTTTCTTTTTCTTTCCTTTTTTCCTTGTCTCTTTTTAACCGCTTCATTACATACTAAAAGGACTGTTTTGCCTCGTTTTTTATAGTTTGTGGGCTTAATTGAGTGTTTTTTGAGTTCAGGGGCTTGATTGACTTTTCTGTATTAGTAGGGGGGCCTATTTGACAGTTTTCCCACTAGAGTCTTTTAAGGTCTTTTTAAAGAATAGAGAAGCTAGAAGCTAGAGTCTTATGTGTGCCAAACATAGCCTAAATGCCAACTGTTGAAACTTTTTATTAAAAAATTGAGTGGTACTAATAAAAATGGTGATGGAGTATAGGATCTAAATTTAAAAAGAAGAGAGCACTACATTGACAGGCAGTAGTTCAGTATAGAGCTACTAGTCTGCCCAGTGCTGAACATATTAAAACACTAAAAAATCTGCAGCCAAAACAATAAAATACGTTAACAAATGCTAAACAAAGAGTGGAGTAGGAGACAAAAGTTCAAAATAACATTGAAAGAACACATTGAATTGTCATTGTTCTCCTCCTGATAATACTTTGAACAAGATCTTAATGTATTTGTGTAATTCTGATCTAATTGTTTATTAAACAATACTTTAGTGTTATGGAGTTGGTGTTATGCATCTGTGTGCTATTCTTTTTCTTTACTCTATCTTACTTGTGTACCACTACTGTGATAATCTCATTCTCCCCTTCCATCTGAAATCGAAATTGGTCTTCGAATCTAAAAAACATGATAGTGTTCATAGCATTCTCCTAGTTCCAAACAGATCCACTATGATATAAACAGAAGTGAATTACTGAAAACTCAATAATTCATAATTGTACAGCCAAACATAACTAAACAAATACTAAATATAAAGAGAACTAAATTACTGAAAACTCAATTGTATATATAAAAGATAAAAACAAAATTGTATTATAGATATAAAAAAATTATAGATAATCTATCTCCATTGCAATGAGTCAATTATGTATCTATAAATGTATAAATCACACATGTTGGTGCATCTGTTGATCTCTATAATAAACAGAACACTAATCAACATATAATTTACAAGGAAGACTTCTATCTAATAACTTACAAGGAAGACTTCCATCTAATAAATTACAAGGAAGGCTAATCAGTCTATCCTCGTGTTAATTTTATTCCTAAGCTGCAACTGTTACATTACTATATGTCTCGCTCACTTGATACTTACATCTCAAGTTCCTGATTAAGATTAATGGGACTATATCTGCATTAGGCGTGGCTTGACCACTTTAGTAGGTGATACAAAATGAGCTTAGGCTTTGCTGAAAACACATCAATTTAAATAGCTAAGGCTAGAACTATTATATTCCAAATTGGTTAAGTCATTGGTGATTTAAGTTCCGTTGACCTTCATTTTCTAGTAAAATTAAGGGCATAATAATTGTTAACTTTAACCTACATTGGGGAAGAAGTTTAATTTTTGTCCCCGTTAAAAGTATTATAGGACAGGGAAAAGGGTCAGATAGGCTCTCGAACTTACATAAAAAGGTCAAATAAGCCCTTACATAGGAGGCTATGTCCGGCCGTCGCCATTTGGGACGGTTCCCGGTGAAACTTTTTGATGAAATTTTTTGAGCATCTTATTCATTCATTCTAGTTTACTCATACCAAATTTCAGCTAAAACTTCAACCGAAAAGACATTCAAAGGAATTCTTGAAGATAACTAGGCTCATTAAAAAAGTATCATCTTCTTTAAGTACACACTTCTCTAATAATCTTTCTTTCTAAGCCATGTTCTGATCTCCATTTGCTTGATTAATAAAGTAATCAGCAGTTGTCAAATATATCTTCTTCAATATATCAGAATTTGGGAACTTCTTAGAAATGGTTGACGACGGCTTGGAAAACTCAACATATGCATCACTGAATTTTTGTGCAACTGCCTCAATTTCCTTCACACACTCCTATAAAAATTAAAAAAAAATAGAAATTGTCATATCACATACATTGGTAAACAGTGGAATCATCATTCAGAACTTTACATTCGACAACACATTAGTTTACATTTTGATAGACAAGAGTTACATGTCATGGTAAAACAGTTAACATCATTTGACTTAGACAACTACAAGTTACATCTTATACTAATAGAAGTTACATTTTAAACGACATATGTTACATTTTCTTGAACACAATTTACATCATGCAAAATTCAGAAATCTAAACTCTTCAAGTATTTGACGTAAGTGATTATTAAAACTTACTTCCTTTGTCAGCAGTTCATCTCCTTTCTCTTCTGTTTCTTCTTCAAGGTAGGGTAGGATCTTTTATCATACAGGTTGGAAAAGGACAGAATGAATCTTTCGAATCCTAGTATGCAATTGAAGTGAAAAAAGGAGTTCCTTTATCTTCTTTCTACTTGTTAAGGCCTATCCTTTGACTTATTTCTGTTTCGAAATTCATTCATGTAGTTAGCATAACAGAATGCTTTGAAAGCTCTAGTTCTGTAGCAATTGGAAAGTAAAATGTGGTTGTTTATGTTAGTAATGAATAAATATTTTGGATCTAAATACATACCATCTGCCCTTTGGCCGAGTTGGAATTGCATTTTGAGGGGATTTGACATTGACATGAGTAAGTGGGAATTCAGAATAGAATTTCCTGATGCCTACCGGAAAGCTAAGTAGGGGCTGAGCTAGACAAGCAACTGTCAGCCCTCCAAACAAATATAGGTTGTTTTTACTTGGACGGTAATTTGTCCCAGACCAGACCAGATCAGAACAGACTTGTATAGTTATAAAAATACAAAGAAACCAGACCAGACCAGACCAGATCAGATCAGACCAGACCAGCAAATTACCGTCCAAGTAAAAACATTCTTAGTGCATCCAATTGATTGAACATATTGCAGACCTACCTCTTTCCATGCAAATGAAAAGTTCCATTACATGCTAAAGAGAATACAAGTATTAAGCAATATGAATCATCTTATTATTGAATGCTCTGCTATGTATATATAGCCATGTACACATACACTCTCGTGAGAGTGGTTTTCAGATCCTAAATAATAGGCTGTACACTTGGGTTTGTTACACATGATAAATACAAGTAGCTATATAGATAAATACACTATCTAGGCCGGATGGATAAATACAAAGAATAATGTTTAATAATAGTATTTATATTTTATACTTTATCATGCCCCCGCAAGCGAGGTGGTCTGGGAAGAATACCAAGCTTGGAGCGATGAGATTGAAATAATTGTCGAGCAAGTGGCTTGGTGAGAGAGTCAGCAAGTTGATCCTGAGTATGGACATGTGTGACACGCAGCTGATGTTTTTGAATTTGTTCCCGAACAAAGTGAAAGTCAATGGCAACATGTTTCATTCGTGAGTGAAAAATAGGGTTGGCACATACATAAGTGGCACTTATGTTATCACAGAACACTGTTGGAGCTGAGCGTAGTGGAAAATGAAGCTCAGAAAGGAGGTTGCGAAGCCATGCTAATTCAGCAGATACTGAGGCGATGGCACGATATTCGGCCTCCGTGGATGAGCGTGCAACAGTGGCTTGCCTTTTGGAACTCCAACTAATTGGGTTTGAGCCAATAAACACAACATATGCAGAAGTAGAGCGGCGTGTGTCAGAATCCCCTGCCCAATCAGCATCGGCAAACGCATGAAGAGATAAAGGAGTCTTAGCAGAGATGAATATGCCAAAATTAGCAGTACCGCGAAGGTAGCGTAGTACCCTTTTTACAGCTTGCCAATGTTTTGTAGTCGGACAGTGCATGAATTGAGCAAGTTTATTGACTATAAAACTGATATCAGGCCGAGTAAAGGACAAATATTGAAGAGCACCAAGAATACTCCGATATTCAGTTGCATTGTGAGGAGAAGATCCATCAACCAGAGAGAGAGAATCATTTGGAGATACTGGAGTTGGTGTGGGTGCAGCCGAGTGCATGCCCGTTCGTGAGAGTATGTCAGAGATGTACTTGTGTTGGGTAAGAAATAAGCCGTTGGAGGTTCGTGAAGCCTCAAGACCAAGAAAATAAGATAGAGAGCCAAGGTCTTTAAGACTGAAGCGACATGCTAATGCTGATATAAAGGATTCCAGAAACCTAGAGTCGTTCCCAGTAAGAATTATATCATCGACGTAGACGAGCAAGAATAGTAGTGTGCAGCCAGAGGAGTAGATAAATAAAGAGGTATCACTGCGGCTATTGAGAAAACCAAACTGCAACAAATAAGTTTTGAGCTCACAGTACCAAGCCCGGGGTGCTTGACGAAGTCCATATAATGCTTTTCGGAGAAGACACACATGATGAGGATGAGTTTTGTCAATAAAGCCTGGAGGTTGCTGCATATAAACCTTGTCAGATAAGGTACCCTGCAAAAAAGCGTTGTTTACGTCGAGTTGACGAATAGGCCAGTCGTGTATAATAGCAAGAGTGAGAACTAGACGAACAGTGGCCGGTTTGACAACCGGACTGAACGTGTCAGTAAAGTCAACCCCTGGGCGTTGATGAAATCCTTTGGCAACGAGCCGAGCTTTGTAGCGAGCAAGAGAACCATCTGGATTTTGTTTGACCCGATAGACCCATTTACATCCTATAACGTTTTGCAGAGGAGAAGGGGGAACTAGTGACCAAGTGTTGTTTTTCTCAAGAGCAGCATACTCATCCATCATGGCCTGACGCCACTCAGGATGTGAGGATGCTTGTTTGTAGGACGTGGGAGCTACAGGAATGGAAGAGGTAGTGGTATGAAAATTATACTTAGGATTGGGTTTGACAATATGGTTTTGAGAGCGGGTGACTGGTCTGTGGGGCTGGACTGGAGGTGGGCTGGGTACTGAAGTGGAATTGCTGGGTAATACCGACGGCGTAGGCACTGAGTTGGGAGGAGGGGATGGTGAATATTCTGAAAGAGGGGAATGGACAGTAGAAGGGGGAGGTGAATGGGTGGGTGTAAGAGATGAGTCAGTATGATTTTGTGAGATGGGGACTGGCTGGGGAACCGAAGACAGGAGTGGGATGGCAGTGGTATGGGAAAGAGTGCTATCGGGTGAAGATGGGTTGATCAAGTCAGTAGATTTTACCGATAAGGGCGTGATAAGAGTGGATTTCAGCTGGGAGATAAAGGTGCGTAGACTGTGGCTATAATCAGAGGAGGGAGGTAGAGAAACTGGGGAATTATATGGAAAATATTGTTCAAAGAAAAGGACATGGCGAGTCAGATATATACGACGGGTTTGAGGATGCAAACATTGGTGAGCATGGTGGGTGGTAGAAAAACCAAGATATACACATGGTTCGGACCGGGGCTGAAGCTTATGTTTGGTATAGGGGCGCATCCAGGGATAGCATAAACAACCAAATACTTTGAGAGAGGAGTAGTCAGGCATATCTCCAAATAGCTTGTGATAAGGGGTATCATTGTGGAGAGTAGGAGTGGGCATGCGGTTGATAAGATAAGTAGCATGTTTGAAGGCATACGGCCAGTAATAGAGGGGAATCTTAGCTTGAAGGATGAGTGCTAGAGCAGTTTCAACGACATGTCGGTGTTTGCGTTCGGCAGAGCCGACATGTTCGGGTGTGTAAGGTGGTGATTTTAGATGTTGTATGCCATGATGAGATAATAAGGGTGTGAGTGCAGTAAACTCCCCGCCGCCGTCGGTATACAAGGTTTTAATAGTTGTTTTAAAATAATTTTCAATGAGTGCACGAAAATTATTAAAAACAGAATAGACCTCAGATTTATGTTTAAGAGGAAATAACCAAGAGTACTTTGTGTAATAGTCAACAAAAATTACATAGAATTTATTATTATGAATAGCAGAAACGGGAGCTGGACCCCAAACATCAGAAAAAATAAACTCAAACGGATGATTACAATTTATTGTAGACTTATGAAAAGGTAACTTATGACTCTTGGCTTGAAGACATGGTTGACACGGGAACGTGTCTTGACGAACAGGCGTTTTATTTGAGGAGAGAATACGATTCTGGACTGAGAGAGTTGGGTGACCAAGTCGTTGATGCCATATGTTGGAAGAGATGTGAGACACGAGTGGAGATGGTTGTTCCGGCCATATGTATAAATTGTTTTTACTCCGGCCGCGGGCCAAGGATGCCCCTGTGGTTAGATCCTTCACAACAAAGGAATCAGGTGAGAACTCAATAGAGGTATTATTGTTTTTGCAAAACTGACTAACAGAAATAATGTTACGATGGATTTTTGGTGCATGCAAAACGTTATTAAGAGTAAATGTAGAATCGGATGAAACAATATCGGTGGAACCCGTATGTGAGATTGGAATAGGATTACCATCTCCCATGATAACAGAGTCATTGCCAGAATAGTCTGAGTGAATAGCCAGGTTGTTCAGATCCGAGGTAACGTGATGTGTGGCACCAGTATCTAGAAGCCATCCTGCATTTGCCTCTGCATTTGGTGATTTGTCTGTCATATTAACAGAAGGAGCATTACGGTTGTAACAAGTGCGTGCCGTATGACCATGTTTGTCACAAAGTTGGCAGATGACGGTTGAACGAGAATTGCTTGGTTGAGAACCGAAACCGTGTTGATGAGGGTTTAGGTTGGTGGAGGTGTGTCGACCGCCACCGCGACCTCTGCCCCCTCTGCCACGAGAGAAATTGTTGCTTCGCCGTTGAGAGTACTGGACAGATATAGAGGTGTCTGGGTTGTCACCGGCCAGAATTTCTGCTTGTTGGAGATGATGACGAAGGGTAGAAAGCGTGAGAGGTGTCGGTTGAATTCGGAGAGCAGAAATTGTTTCCTTATATTCTTGCCCAAAGCCATTAAGAACATATGACATAACTTGGCCGGAGGAGACGGGGTGACCAATAGTGGCAAGATCATCAACTAATCCTTCCATAATTCCCATGTATTCTGTAACGGATTTTCCAGCTTTCTTTGTGGTGGCTAGGCTGTTGTGCAGGGAGAGCATCCTGGTGATGGATGTATTAGCAAAGCTGGATTCAAGCTTCTCCCATGCTTCTGCTGAGGTTTTGCAACTGTTGATGATGGGGCCGACCGGGCCAGAAACTGTTGATTGGAGTGCCAAGAGAACAAGGCGGTCCTGACGATTCCAGAGGCTGAGATCATGTGATGATTTATCAGGACATGGAGTAGAACCGTCGACATAACCTAGTAGGTCATAGCCAAAGAGGAGATTAGTCAATTGAGATTTCCATGATGAGTAATTACTTCCATCATTGGAAAGTTTAATTGGAATCTGAGATGAGGCATTTAAGGAGATTAATTGTGGGGTGGGAGAGTTATTCGTAGGAATAACACCAGTAGATTGAGATGAGCTATTGGCATGGTCTCCCATTTGAGAATGAAGGAAATGACCGAAGCAATTTAATCAATTGCAGTCTCTGATACCATAAAGAGAATACAAGTATTAAGCAATATGAATCATCTTATTATTGAATGCTCTGCTATGTATATATAGCCATGTACACATACACTCTCGTGAGAGTGGTTTTCAGATCCTAAATAATAGGCTGTACACTTGGGTTTGTTACACATGATAAATACAAGTAGCTATATAGATAAATACACTATCTAGGCCGGATGGATAAATACAAAGAATAATGTTTAATAATAGTATTTATATTTTATACTTTATCACATCCATATATTTCAAATAGCTCCAAAAGGTCGCTAACAATTTCATTGAATAACTTCCGTAACAATATACATCATTAGATTTATTTATGAAAAACAATTGATAACCGGAAAATATTAACCAATAAAAATAAATGGTCGGTTTCCATCTATGTGCTCCTGTGTTTGAAGCCTCTAGAATTTTCTCAGCATATTCATTTGAGGAGGCATGTGCTCATGGTCAAGGGGAATGTACCCAACCTACAAAAAAAAATAGAAGTTCTTATAAGCACCATTACATTAAAATGACTAATTGCATTAAAGAGATAAAAAATGTTGAATTAAACTTTTCCTGGAAATAGGTGATAAATATATTTCGAATCAAAATATCAAAATATCATGTAAACAAGACCAAAGATTTTGAAAAAGGTTCCAGACAATTAAAAGTATCAAAAGACTGTCTTTTGGGCATTTTTTACAAACATGTAGGTAGACATTGAATTCCGAGTTGGTAAAACTTTAATAGCTCACTCTTTAAATTCTAACTCAATTAACTAATCATATATATGTATCTCTATTTGTTTTAAGCATCAAGAATCAATAGGATATAAGCATTGCACTTGTATTACAATTCGTTTGACGACTTTCACTTTCTACCCGATTCATCACCGCCTACGTGCCCTTAGCCCGTCCAAGCGAACGATAATAGACAGCCCAGTACGCTGTGAATTCGTTGGTTGATTTGTTGACCAACAAAATTTGAGAAATACAATTTGACTTTATTTCTATAGAACTAACAACTAGTGTAACACCCGGGGCAATGCCCCGGTAGTGTCATATTAATATTTATTAAAATGGTAAATATTGTGAGATGTGAATTATTTATAGATTTTTTTTGTATTAACAAAAACTTTTAATAACAGTTTCAAAGTAAAATAATATCTCAAATAATATTTGGGTTTTTAAATCTAAAATATTTGAATTAAAAAACTTGTTACATTAGTAGTGTAAATGGTAATTATTTAGGTGCTCAATCTCAAACAACCAATTGATTGGTATTTTGTGATATTGGTGAAGAAAAATGTCCTCTTGAAATTTGTGAAGGTCATTGCTTTGTGTTGACCTTTTTGTTACTTTTTGTTCCCCATTCTTAAGATAAAAATCAACTTATGATGGGTGCACACACATAAATGCATAGATGTAAAATAAAATGCGTAGTATTACGTATTTGTTACGGAGTATTGCGTAGTGAGATCTTCTCGTCATCCTCTCTAAACTCAATTCTGGAGGCGTTAAACCAATTAGAAACTAAAATCTTGCTTATAATAAATTGTTTTAGAGTCATTAATTATATTTTTCAAGTACCTCTACAAAAATACAATTAATTTATTTCATGAATCTAATAAGGGTTAATAAATAGCTTACCATCCGTCACTGTAATTATTCAGACACATAAATGAATCGCAAAGGGAAATTCTTTGTTTGATTCTTTATGTTGTTTGAGTATGCTATCTACTGCTTCACCACATCTATCCCACAAATAATAGATAACCTCAGATCCTTGTAAGGAGAAAACAAAGCATGAACACGATAGAACAAAGTACACAATTGAATGAACACATGATAGACATATAAAATTAAATATACTTAAAATATACTTACTCTTCATCTATGAAATTTAACTTTAACCTATTTTTTTCGTAACTCCGCTCCTCAAATTCACTGGATGTATAATCTATTAGTGATCACCCCCATTATATTAATCGAATATATGATTTATGTCACGTTTTTTTATTTATAGAATGACATCAAATTTAACACATGGAAAATTAAAAGTCGAGATTTTGAAATCATGTATTTCTTCAACAATTGTTGACTTATTAGTGAATAGAAGTTTAAAACTATGACTACACAATTGGAGGCCATATATATTACGTCTAACACAATCTCTCCGATGCTATAACAATGTTTATCCTAAAACCTAAAATGTCTTCCAGAAAAATATAGATTTAAAGATATGATGAACAAATCTGAGAAAAATTCTAAATGTAACAAATATGAGAAGATTTTTTTAATTCTCAATTTGTAAAAAGTTCAAAGCACGAATTGTAATAACAACCCGTTTGACAACTCTGTTTGTTGACGTATCATGCTTACCAACCAACTTGTTAACCAAACATGTAACTTTTGGTTCACACGCTCAATTGTGTAGTAATAAGAAAAAGTAAGGTTGAAGTTGCTTTTGTTGCTATAATGGCTGAATTATTGTAGATGATAATTTTAGTTATATTTTCATATAAATTTTTATTTATATTATTGATAAAATGTATTTTAAATATAACTTTTTCATAAATAAGCCGAATCAGCCAATATCGCTATTCAGCCAGAACTTCATAAATTTTAACAGAATCAGATGATTCAGCCGATTTCAGTGATACCAAACGGGCTCTAAAACCTAGTACTAACAAAATTTGACGTTACATTTGACGTAGTAATTATTATAATATTTTGCTCCCCACGAACTAAAATTGTCAATCAGAAAAGTAAACTTTTTGTTTCTATTTATGTTTAATTTTAATAAATCAATATTAATGATTACATAATTAAAAAAATAAAATTAATTGAAATTAATTAACAGGGAGTAAACAACAATCAATATTTAAGAACGTTGTACATGCTAAAAGGATTGTATACCAAAAACTAAATTTATATCCTCTCTATTAATAATTAATTCAATTCTATTGATTAGATTTTACATATTCAAAAATTATATTAAAATCTTTATAAAGTTAAAAATCCAAATTAATATTTAATTAAGATTTGATATTCTAATTACATAAATAAAATGAATTTGTTTGATCCAAAAAATTCAATTTTGAATCTCAACTTGAGACAGAAGATGTAACTCTTAATTTAGATGCTTTTTATTTTCGAATATTACTGTGTAAATGAGTCTTATGATTCATTGGATTAGAAAAATCGTGTGAAGCCGGTGCTTCCTTTGGAGGTGACTGAGCCCCCTTTTCTCCCTTAGAGGTGACTGATCATACCTTTCTCCCTTGCTGGTGGCTATTAAAATCAGGACTTGTGATTCTTTTGTTTCTCTTCAGCTTTTGAACCTCAGTTTTCTATATTTCTCTTTTAGTAGCTAGCAAGTGATGTTGATAGAATATTCTCTCATCGCGCAGAGTTAGCGATCAGGCATGACCTTTCGGCCTGGTCAGTTCTATGTCTCATTCCAGGATTATTCTGAGCTATTGCTCTACTTTGTCTTTGTTTACTTTCATTATTATTAATAAATGAGTGAATTTCTTTCAAAAAAGAAGAAGAAAAATCGTGTATGATAACTCTCATTGTTGAGGTTTTTTGTTTACCAAATGACTTTTCTAATACTCTATTTCTTGGGTTGAAATTCTCAAAATATTGATATTTATAATCGAAATAATGAACACCTTTTAAATGTTTTTTTATACATTGGAAATGATTTTAATTGAAAATAACTAAGAGAATTGTACGTGCTAAAAGAATTGTAAACTAAAAATTAGTTTTGATTGTGATAATTATTTAATACCTAAAATTAGATATTTAAAGAAAATTAGATTTGTTATATTTAATACTTAGGATGTTTTCTTTTGGACTGAAATTTGCTGATCTTGTCTGGTGTGATCTGGTTTGGTCTGGTAATTGTCCGGTCTCTGTATATTTTATAACCATGAAAGTCTAGTCTGATCTGATTTGGTTTGGTCCGGTCTGATATGGTCTGGTTTGGTCCGGTCTGGGATTGAAAACAGTTCAAAAAAACATCCTTATACTAATATATATTTTAACAGTGTTAAAATAGTACGGAGTAGTAACTTATACATAGTATTGAATAATAGTAGTGAATAAGTGATGCCATTACAAAAAAAAAAAAGAAACGATCATAATGCGCAATTTATACCGTGCAACCGGCATACCATGTGCATGGTATGCCCGGTTCTAATACGGTGTCGTTCTTATGCAATTAAAGTCGTTTCCCAAAATTTTATTCTTCCCATGCTTCCACTAACTTTTTTCCACTAACTTTTCTTCCTTGCTTTCTCTCTTGTGCTGCTTTTCGTTTTGAAAATTGAAGCAAGTTCTATTGCTTTGATGTAATAGGCTGCTATGAATCAATTCAGATTAATACTTCGTATAAACTTCTCCGTTCAGATTAATCTAACATGCTTTGATCGATGAGGTTAATTGGTTTTTACGTATAAAATGGAGTTACACTCTTTAATACAAATTTACATCTTAAGTTACATGGAGTTACATCTTTTTATGAACGAGTTACATATTCATGTGCATGATAGAAGCAGAAAAAGAAACCCTAGCAGACGGTGTTAACGACTGCCCAGCCTTAGGCTCAAACCAAATCTTTATTCTCGATAATGAAAAATAGTTCACAAGACCTCCTTAAATACTCCTTAACCTAGTAATAAATTATGGCCATCTAGGCCCAACAAGCTAATAATAAAATATGGCCCAACAGTTTAATAGAAATAACAATTGAATAAAATAAACTAATAAAACCCAGCAGTTAATCCAGCCCATCTAGGCCCGCTGGCGGCGACGGTAAACCAATAATGGGCGAGGCCCATCCTCCTGAAGTATTGGACCCTCCTGGGCCATCGGCACAACTGTCTCCTGCTCTCTAACAATTTCCTCCCCCTCTAAAACAACCTTGTCCCCAAGGTTGAAGTCAGGGAACTGCTGTTGGAACTGCTGCACCCCAATCCACGTAGCATCATCTTCTGACTGACCAACCCACTGCACCAACACCTGCTCCACACCTTTCCCTTTCTCCTGCACAGTCCGCGAAGCCAGAACAGTCGCAGGCTCGAACACCGGTCCAATAGGTACTTCCAAGCTCTCTGGCAACTC